CATATTTTTAGCAAAAAATATTTTTTTTTGGTTAAATGTAAACCAAGAAATGAACAAAATGATAAATTCATATTTATATTAAGAAATGTTTACATAGAATTCAAATTTAATGTTACATAAATTATTTATAACTTTGTAAAGTTAAATTTAACTTAAACAAATAACAACTAAATGCATTTCTAATTATTATTATCAAATATTTATAACATAAGTACATCCCAATTAGGTTGACACTTACTTTTATTATAATTTATAGTTTAAGTACATTCCAACTAGATTGGCTCTCCCCCCATTTTTTTCAAATTTTTTATTTTTTTTCATGGGCTAGCGTGTTAACCGCGGCCTGTGAAGGTGCAACCCGCGAAGTCCGCGGGGTCACACCTCCTTGATCCGTCAACCGCCCGCTCGGGTCACGGGTCGGCTCACGGTCCAGGGTTGATCCGGATCGATTTTCACGGGTCGGCTGGCTCGTCCGTCTTGACATCTCTATTTTTATTTATGCTTGCAATGTTATTTGGGTTCAATCTTAAAACAATAAAACATCCAAAATAATTAGAATCTCGCTAATAACAAATAGATGAGTCTATAATTTACACTTATCAATGCCTAGTGCTTTGGCCGAACCTTCTACAACCTTGCCAAAAATGCACTAATGAGATTGCACTACCGACTATAGAGTCAAGGTAATCCATGTCACAGGGGTGGGTCGTACTTACATCTTACTAAAAGATTTCAACTTCAATGGTGACAAGGTTTTTAAAGGGAAATGATGGATTATATGGACGGCACGAGAGGAGAACAATTATTTAACACTATCTAGAAAGAAATCTTTATTTTGTTAACATCGAGTTCCATACACATCAAAACGTCGTCAGTTATTTACCAAGAAGCAGCCTGGAGTATCATTCAATTTCCAAATCAATTGCAATAAATTACAATAATGATTCTATTAGGGCACTCGTGTGAGTGTTAAGCTATAGAATAATGATCTCCACTTCCAAACTCAAAAGATGGATTGAGTTTAGTTGCAATTCAAAAATCAAAACACAGAGGCGGAAATAAGAATTCATGTACCTTTTTTCTCTTTTTACTTTTTTCTTACTTTTTGGAGGAAAATAGATTAAGACGTTAACAAAAGTTTTAAGCATCACGAATGACTATTATATGTGGTAAAGGCTTGTTTGGTTTCAATTATTATTCATTATAATTAAAAAACCAAAGAAAAAATTTATCAACTGTAAAAATGTGTCCAAGGATAGATCTGTAATTTCGTTTTCTTTCTTCAACCTGGGTTAATGGTTACCATTTAAACGTCGCCGTTCTTGCCCATTTCTACTGCTTCAACTCCGACCACAATTTCTTACATTTTTAAGTTAATTACGAATCTAATTCGCGCAAATTCTCTGGATTTGTGAAATTGAGGTATACATAAAGATTCAAAGAAGAGTGTATGTATATATAACTGATGGGTGGCGCGTCGCTGGATGGATTGCAGGATCACCTAAAGTTGGCTAGAGAATACGCTTTGGAAGGACTGTATGACACTTCCGTTATTTTCTTCGATGGCGCCATTGCTCAGATCAACAAGTATATGTCTCAATTTCAATTTTTGACCTTTCCCCTTTCCTTTAATATTTTTTGGGTTTTTAGCTTGTCATATGGTTTTATGTATTACAGTCATAAAGCTAAATTAGCAGTTTATAAAAGTATTCTTCATGTTTAAGTAAAAATTGCTGTGATTAACTCCCTCGTGCTGAAATCTTTTGTTTAAAATTTCATATATTTTGGTCTTTATTTTCCCGACTTTTAGGCATTTAAATACAGTCGAGGACCCTTTACTGCGTACGAAATGGATGAATGCGAAGAAAGCAATTTCAGAAGAAGCGGAGGTTGTGAAGCAATTAGATGCTGAGAAAAGGTCGTTCAAGGAGGTTCCTATTGGCAGGCGGCCTAATTCACCTCCGATTTCGACTAAGTCATCCTTTGTATTTCAGCCATTGGACGAGTATCCAGTGTCATCCAGTGCTCCAGTGGATGATCCCGATGTGTGGCGACCGCCTACTCGAGATCCTTCGAGTAGAAGACCTACAAGAACTGGTCAAGTTGGCATGAGGAAGTCACCACAAGACGGGACTTGGGCACGTGGAGGTTCCACGAAAACAGGAACAGCTGGCCGTGGAGGAAGGACAGGTGGTTCTAGTAAGTCTAACACTGGAGGTCGAGCATCAACTACCGCAAGGAAAGGAACTGGGAAATCGGCCTCTGGAAAAGCAGATTCAGTAGTAAGTTTTTCTGCTGGAGATGTAGTTGGTTAATGATGTCAGCATTTTTACTCGAAGGTTGGAAAAAGTATACTCTTTACTCATATCTGTTATGAGGTACTATGTTAGCTAACTAATTCTTTTGCTCTAGGCAAGATCAAGTGCCTAGGATTCTATATGAGACAATGGTGAGTAAATAGGGAACATCACCCTTCCCTTACTGGTAGTTGGGAAGAATAAGAAGTGTTACCATTCATGTGACAAAAAAGATCCATGACAATGTTATTGGCAGAGCCATTGCAATATACAAGCATTCCAATGATAGATCCAATTAGCAATTAATGTAAAAATTATATAAGGTGTCTTAATTAGAAAGTTAGTGTAATGTCAGTTCATTTTATTCCATCACTGAGTACTATGGTATGCACGGCACAATTCTTCTTTCCACTTTTGATATGAGATAAGATAATGAAAAAGCGAATGTTCATGTTATTCACGGTTGGTCAAGGGAGCTTGTTTATTTCATTGTTATCTTTCGAAGCACAGCAGAAGTGTTAGTTCAGGCCAGATACACTTGATGTGCTTGCCCTCAGATTTTATTGCAGCCTTTTCTAATCCAATCTCTATATCTTTTGCTTTGAGTATATGCTCTTACTAACTTTTCTAGTTCCTAGAAAAGCTAAATTCAACTTGTCCTACTAGCCTTTTAAAATTTAAATATATCTTATGCTACACCTCAATATGATTAAAATTTTTCATCTGTCCTTTATTTTGATGAACTCTATTATGACATTGAAGATTGGGGTATCCAAGTTCCTGAGGGATTGGTGTGGTTTTCATTTAGAGTACATGGTTAATGTTTCAATTCCATGGTAAGAACTGTCCATGAAGATATATTTGAGTCTGATCACATGGTCCTTGAGTTCTTTTACCCATAGTTCATATGACCTATAGTTTTACAAAGGGTTTGTAGTTGTCCAAGATTCGTTGATTTAATACTACTTGTTTTCCAATTCAGTATTCGTTTTGACGTCAAAATCTAAAAAATGAATATACAGATTCAACAATAGAGAACCTGAGATGTTGGAAAGTTGAATGAAGATATGTATGAATGTCCAATTGCATATATTCAGACAGACTTGTCCCATTTATCAGATTGATTATTAAGGGACTTCTTGGTTTAGAATTTTGAGCTGATTTTCCAATCAGATATAATTAAGGCTTGAACATTGTATCTGAGTTTCAATCTTCCAATTATTTCTTTTGCAACTAAATGTCAAACATTGTTCTCAATATCTTTCAACAAACATGCTATACTTTTGTAGTTTAATAATTAATTATTTATCTAAATACCTACAATTTTTTATGTAAATAGATTAAATTACCTGAAGTGTTTCTCCTTTTAATTCCCCTTCTATGTCCTTGTGTTTTCTTGATGTCCTAAGTTGGATATGTATTTTGCAAAGTTTACGTACAAATTTCTGTGCGCGTAAGGTTTCACGAGTGACCTACACAATGGAGACTAGGAATATTGAAATCTTTCCAGGAGGCCTTAGTTTTTGCCCAGTCAAAGGGAGTGTAGAAATGTTTATTTTATCATAAATACAGAGGGAGTAGAGATATTACTTACTTTGGGTTGCTGGCTTCTTATTACCCTGAATCCATTGTAGGTTCTGTATTCACTATTAGTTGATAATACTATTCGTCATTGGCTTCTTTCTGATTTTTGTTGTGATTGTCAGAATGGTGATGAAGCTGAGGACGGAAAGCAGAAAAAAGTGCAATATGAAGGGCCTGATGCAGACTTGGCTGCTATGCTCGAAAGGGATGTCTTGGAAACCAGTCCTGGTGTCAGATGGGATGATGTGGCTGGGTTGAGCGAAGCAAAAAGACTTTTAGAAGAAGCTGTAGTTCTTCCACTGTGGATGCCTGAGTATTTCCAGGTGTCAGATATTGGTCGAAACTGAGTAAATTTACTTTGATTTTGTTTACCGCATCTTCCTCAAAGTCATCTAGATAATCTGCAGTTTTAGTATTAAATATGCAATTAGTTTGTTATGATGGAATCTCTGATGCGTGATGATACACACAACATGTCAGCCTGTGTATATCTCAAATTTTATTCTCCTCTCTTCATAGCTGATTTCATGTTACATTCTTGAAAGCACGAAACTGGAAGTACTTTGGATGATTTATTTATTGTTCCTTACATGTAGAGAGAAGTTTATATAACTAGATGTAAAATAGAGATTGTTCATACTTCATGTAATCCTTTTCTCTTTCCTTACATGCATGGTTTATGACGTTCAATCTTTGATATGTATTTGGTTTCAGGGAATTAGGAGACCGTGGAAAGGTGTACTCATGTTTGGCCCTCCTGGTACTGGGAAGACACTTCTAGCTAAAGCTGTGGCTACTGAGTGTGGTACAACATTTTTCAACGTTTCTTCTGCTACCCTGGCTTCAAAGTGGCGTGGGGAGAGTGAACGAATGGTCCGGTGTTTGTTTGATCTTGCAAGAGCTCATGCTCCTAGTACAATATTCATTGATGAGATTGATTCTCTTTGCAATTCTCGAGGGTGAGAATTTTATTATTCTGTACAGGCAATTTTTAAATTTGGCCAATGGGCCATTTTGCCTGAGATTATTCTCTTTTTACAATTATTTCAGCTCTCTTTTTACAATTATTTCAGCAGTTATGTGCGTTGGGGTACACGAATGCATGTATGACATAGATCTGCTTACATTTCAATACTAACCAAATTCTCCATATTAGTCCCCCAATTCTTTGTGGTTAATCTGTTTTGTGTTGCTTGCTTAAATACCTTATAAGCACAATTGAACTGCCTTTATACTTGTACTTTAGATGAAGGAAAGCTTATTTATTACCATGTGAGAATTCACGTGTGTTCATATGTATCCACGTCAAGCTCCTTTTTATGAAATCAATTTTTAGGGCTTCAGGAGAGCATGAATCATCCCGACGGGTCAAATCGGAGCTTCTAGTTCAGGTAGATGGTGTCAACGCTTCTTCCACCAATGAAGATGGTACGCGCAAGATAGTGATGGTTTTAGCAGCTACAAATTTTCCTTGGGATATAGATGAGGCATTGAGGTCTGGTTTTGTTTCGTTCACTTTCTTCATATTTGATTTTATTTCTTGAGGTTCTAGGTAGGGTGGTTTATTTTATCTGATACAACAATGATTAATGCAATTGTGCTGGCCCCATCATTGCTCAACTCACTTCTATGTAGTTTTCAATTCTTTAAGTAGGTTATATATTCTTCGTCAGACAATTATAGATCGATTCTCATTTTGTTTACTTGTGATATGCGTACATGCTGTGATATCAGGTGGCTCCAGATGTGGATATTGATGAAGTGGCTCGTAGGACAGAGGGATACAGTGGAGATGATCTAACAAATGTTTGCCGTGATGCTTCTTTGAATGGCATGAGGCGTAAGATAGCAGGAAAGACACGCGATGAGATCAAGAACATGTCCAAAGATGAGATTTCAAACGATCCCGTTGCTATGTGCGACTTTTTAGAGGCCTTGAATAAGGTTCAACCAAGTGTTTCAGCAGCTGATATCGAAAAGCACGAGAAATGGTCTGCTGAATTTGGTTCAGCATAGAATGAGCGACTTTTGTTAGTAATTCACAATCCTCTGCTTTTTCGTGCTTCATCCTTTGAGGTCACACTTATCATTTTTTGGTTTGATTCTAAACCAGTGTTGATTGTGATTTGATTGATGAAAGGTCTTGCATTTTGTGTCTCGTGTATGAGTAACCATGTAGCAAAACTTTATGTTCATTTCATATACTGATTGAAATTGCAGCTTTACCACGTCCAGTGCTGCTAAGCAATTCGTTTGGACAAAATTTCTCTTCACTTATTTTTTTATTTTTAAAAAAATATTAGCAGAAATATGTCGAGAACTTAATGTAGAATTCATGAAATCATTCGACATAGCTAACGAAATAAAAATAGTGAATTAATAGGCATTCAGACAAAGGTCCCGAACGTGGAAATCTTATCTTTTTTTTTTTTTTTTCCTCTTTTTATTATTTGCTTTAAAAAATGTAGTTTTTTTAATTTTTATTTAGCATATCCAAACATGCTCGACCCGTCGACGTAAATAAATTGTCAAACTGCATTATATTTTCCTCTTCTCATTGTCATGCTTTATTAGCAAATTAATAGTCAAAAACAATAGTACCATCATTGTGCTGGCCCCATCATTGCTCAAATCACTTCTATGTAGTTTTCAATTCTTTAAGTAGGTTATATATTCTTCGTTAGACAATTATAGATCGATTCTCATTTTGTTTACTTGCGATATGCGTACATGCTGTGATATCAGGTGGCTCCAGATGTGGATATTGATGAAGTGGCTCGTAGGACAGAGGGATACAGTGGAGATGATCTAACAAATGTTTGCCGGGATGCTTCTTTGAATGGCATGAGGCGTAAGATAGCAGGAAAGACACGCGATGAGATCAAGAACATGTCCAAAGATGAGATTTCAAACGATCCCGTTGCTATGTGCGACTTTTTAGAGGCCTTGAATAAGGTTCAACCAAGTGTTTCAGCAGCTGATATCGAAAAGCACGAGAAATGGTCTGCTGAATTTGGTTCAGCATAGAATGAGCGACTTTTGTTAGTAATTCACAATCCTCTGCTTTTTCGTGCTTCATCCTTTGAGGTCACACTTATCATTTTTTGGTTTGATTCTAAACCAGTGTTGATTGTGATTTGATTGATGAAAGGTCTTGCATTTTGTGTCTTCTGTATGAGTAACCATGTAGCAAAACTTTATGTTCATTTCATATACTGATTGGAATTGCAGCTTTCCCACGTCCAGTGCTGCTAAGCAATTCGTTTGGACAAAATTTCTCTTCACTTATTTTTTTATTTTTATTTATTTTTAAAAAAATATTAGCAGAAATATGTCGAGAACTTAATATAGAATTCATGAAATCATTCGACATAGCTAACGAAATAAAAATAAAAATAGTGAATTAGTAGGCATTCAGACAAAGGTCCCGAACGTGGAAATTTCCTCTTTTTATTATTTGCTTTAAAAAATGTAGTTTTTTTAATTTTTATTTAGCATATCCAAACATGCTCGACCCGTCGACGTAAATAAATTGTCAAATTGCAATATATTTTCCTCTTCTCATTGTCATGCTTTATTAGCAAATTAATAGTCAAAAACAATAGTACCATCTCCACCATATCGAAAAAATGTATTTTTGAATAGTGATTGATGGAAGAATGTGTGGTTAAAAAGTAAGGAGAATTTTTAGGTTTATGTGTAATATTATTTTATTGATAGAATATGTAGTTGAAATGAAGAGAGAGAAAAAAAATGAAAATGAGAATGAGAAAAAAATGGGTGTCAAACGGGGGCTAAACTTGCCAAGTTGGAAGAACGCAACATATGTATTGGAGATTGGAGTTACTGGAATGAATTCAAAAGGTGAAAATACA